CGGCCTTTGGCGCCTCGACCTCCGCACGCGGCGATGGGACTGCATGATGACCCCCATGCTCTTCACCCCACGGAAAGGCCACACCACCCACGCTGTCCCCGGCGCGGGGAACATCCTCGCGACCTTCGGAGGCCTCATCCGACAAAAATCGCACTCGGAAAACGGCGAAGGGGTAAAATGGACCCCAACGGCCGAGGTCCTCCTCCTCGACCTCACTGCCTCGCGATGGACGCGGCTTCAGACCTACGGTGCGTATCCGAAACCTCGGTGCTATCACGTAGCCGAGATCCTCGCGGGGACGACGCAGCTGATCGTCTTCGGCGGACGCACGACACCGCCGTCAACTGAGAACTCCAGTGCGATTTCAGACAACGGCGTCCTAAATGATCTTTATACGCTCGACTTCGAGACCGGGATTTGGCGGAAGATCTGTAACACCACCGGGGACCTCCCACCGCCGCGCATGTGCAGTGCTTCCGTCTTCGCGAACGGCATTTTTCTCATTTTCTCCGGCGGCAGCTGCGAATTAGATCAGGATTGCCTCGAGTTTTGCCCGGAAACACGGCATTGGCGGCGATTTCACCTTGCCAACGAGCCAGCCTGTTCTCGCCCAACGGTGGTTTACGTGGGGGATCGCTTGTTATTCTACGGCGGATGCGATAACACGAACCACGTGATGGGATCATCTCTCTTGGAGCTCCCTCTGCCGCCGCTCTCGCTCTGCACAAGCTCCCGACTATGGCTTTTTCAAAACCACACGCTGAGAGGGGCTCTTCATAGGATTCATCAAAATCCCAGCATGATTATGGGTAGGCATCATCGCCAAGGAAGGGCAGAAGTCTCGACGCGCTTCATCGCCGACATGCTTTCTTTACAGGATAGATCGAGGCCTGGGGTTACTTCTTCTCTTTCCAACATCTCTATGACCTCGAATTCTGTTCGTGTGATGAGTACGAACGAGAGGGCGGTGTCTAGAAGGGATAATAATCAAAATATTTATACCAACTCTTCGTTATCGTTCATGAACCCGCCGCTGAGTAATAATTTTCGCAATGTTGGAGGAAATGGAGGGGAGAGGTATGAGTCAATACAGAATTTGCCGCCCTACTTAGGTGAATTTTCACCAGCTCAAGTATATCAATACAGTTATCTGGAATATCCAATACATTCTCATTATTATTGCCCGTATTTTAGGGAACATCGTCTACTAAACCATCAACATTCATTGCCAGTATCTCGCTCGACTAGGCAAAGCGAGCTATCAAGATTGCTCGCTTTCCTTATGGAGAGGAGGGAAAGCCCATATCTCCTGCGAGGTCTCGCAATTTTTTCACAATGTAATTATTAAATGATAAAGGAAATGAAAGGTTTGTAGTGGATTTGATTCACATAGATCTTTAGATTTTCCATGTGTGTCTGTGGGGACTTCGTCCAGATATTCGTTTTTGTGAACTACTGATGAATGTGTTTTTTTAATATGAATTTTGATGTATGTTGATAGTCGACGTTTTCGATGATAAAGCTAAAAAAAAAATAAAGTATTTTCTAAAGTCCTTTTATTTTTCATTTATGGGTTAAGTTTATGGTGCCTTTATTAAAAGTACAACACTCTTTTATAACATTATTATTATTGTTGTTATTATTTATCTTTCTTTCCCTTTTTTGAGCACCTGAAGTATTTTTGCCCCCATCTCTGGACTTCTCGCCTAAAGAGTAGCAATTTATCTTTTCTTTGTTTGTGCACCTTACGATCTTTTGTTAAAGTCTACGTGAAACTCCCCTAGAGCGTATAATAAAGTTTATTCCTGTTTTTCTATTAAAGATGATTGAATGACTTTTTTATTCTAAGGCAAGTTATTCACACTGAGACTTGAGATCTTTTAAAAAGCAATCTATATTTTATTTAGTCCAGTTAATAATGATGCTAAGTGATTGCATTCTTATTGGCATTATAACCAATACTTTTTATTTTAAAAAATTCAATTGAAATCTAACGTTCTCAAGAAAGTAATACTTTCCCTTGTGTTTTTGATTTCATTTAATTTATGCTAGGATTACTTCAATGGAGATTTATATGAGAATAATCTTGAACTTATAATCATTATTTGAATGCTTCTCATAATTTTATGGGTTAAATAGCAAGGTATTATTCAGGTTAGATATTTGTTTCCAATCTCAATCGTCAAAAACTTAAGAATTTAATATTTTAGCTTCCGTTTGTCTCCCTTACCACTTCATCGGAACCAAATTAGCTTCGGAAGGCAATTTTTAAAAATAATTTAGTCATTATTATTATTCTAGTAATTTTACCCACCAAGGTAGTTTATGAAAATATACGAGGCAGTGGGTATTATGAACCTTTTCCATCACATAATTTTCAAATTGTTATCATAATTAATTTTATTATTGATACTTTTTTATCAGTACTTACTAGGCGCGGTCCTATGATAAGTTGCATCTGCTTATTATTATTATTATTCTACACATTCTACTCTATGAACCTGAGATAAATCTTTCAATGGTATCAATTCAGTTTATTATTGCCACTATTAAGTGGTATTTAGGAACAGTTTAACTGAACATTCTCTGGTGAACACCGGCAACTTTCCTTTTCTTTTTTTTTGATCTCACAACTATAAAGAATCCTAAAATTCTATATATATTAGCTTTAAAATTAATGAAAATTATATCACTGATTTGTTTTTAATTAGATTTGACTCTCTCTCTTTTCTTTATCCTCTTTTGAATGCATAATTCTTTAAACCTATCAAAATTGTATTCTTCTATGTCATTTTACTTTCAATTACACATCAAGAGGTACGTTTCGTGAGGATCAGCAAATACCTCGCCACCCCATCTCCTTTCCCACATACACTTAGAAAAAAATATATTATAGTATATTTCCTTTTCATCCACATACGAATTAGTCTTTTTTTTTTTACTTATAATATACCTAATAAAACTCCAGAGATGGTCGTTTCGAGTTCAACTATGCATCTCTCTTCTGTGGTGGATTTTGCTATAGATGCTTTTCATCCAGAAGAGGGATCTTTGAGCGTTAGCAATGAGGGCGTGGTTCCTCTGACGTTGGATTTACAATCTGAAATTAGCGAAATCCTGCGGAACCCTCAAACGGCGGCAATTTTAGAAGTTCTCGCTGATAACAATGCTTGGATTCTTGAGCAAATTCCTTACGAGTCCCAGCATATTACGACCCTGGAGCTTTTTATGCTTAGTGTTCCACAGCTTCCAGAGCTCCGCTTCTTTCCGAACCTGACCACCGTGAAGCTTATGAATATCAACCTCTCATCCATGCGCGATTTAAAGCACCTGGTGCATGTCAAGGAGCTTTGGCTTTCCGGAAACTGCATAACCGAGATCGAAAACCTCGAGCAGATGACGGGGCTTGAGCGTTTATTTCTTCAGGATAATTTAATCGCCTCGATGGAGACGCTTCCCGTGCTCAATTCGCTTTATGAGCTGTGGTTATGCCGCAATCGCCTCACGACAATAACCCGGCTGCAACACATTCCCCAAGTTCGGACCCTGTGGCTCGCGGAGAACCCCATTTCGACGCTGGACGACGCCTTCAACTGCCGCCTCGACGTCCTGGCGGATCTGAACCTTGCCGGGTGCAAGCTCTACCTCTTCCGCGAGATCTCGCGGCTGCAGTCCCTGCCCGCGTTATCCTGTCTCCGCTTCCGCGACGTCCTCTTCGGCGACAACCCGGTCTGCCGGCTGCCGAACTACGCGACGTTCGTGCACGTGCGGCTGCCGCGGCTGGCCTGGCTGGACGCGCAGCGCATCACGCCGGAGCAGTCCGCCCTCTCGCACGGGCTGGTCCGCAAGAAGGCGATTTACTACCGCGTGCGACTCCAGCGGCTGGACCACCACTACCACCTCCTGCGCCGCCACCTGGCGGCGGTGATGGGGGCCTGCGAGGCGAGGGCGCAGGGGGCCCAGCACCAGCTCCAGCAGCTTTTGACCCCCCTGAAGGCCGAACTGCAGGAGCGGCAGCGCTACGAGGGGCGCTTCGCCGCCGACGGGGTGGCCCTCCCGAAGGACCTCAAGAAGCTCGAGGACGCGGTGGGGCGGCTGGAGTACGCGGTGAACCTGCAGCGGGTGCTCGTGCAGAGCGG